TTAAAAGATAAATTTAGGTATTCATATAGATGTTATGTAAATATATAAAACATACATACCTAACATATTATATTTGTTAAACTTAATTAGGCTATAAACGGCTATAAATATTAGTAATTTATAAACCATAATGATTTTATTCACTAGATACTTACATATGGGAGACATTTAGAAACCTAAATTAGAAATTTTAAGGTCTGTTAAATCATTATAACGTAATGAACAATTTAGAAAACTTAAGAAAATCATTTTGCTTCAAATTCTATTTAATATACTTTGTTCAATGATTTCCTAAGAAATTTATTATTCATCTATTAATAGGTACCTATAMAATCTATTTAATAACATAGAAATGTTGTTTCTTTATAATTAAAAGAACCAATAGTACACTTGATAATAGGACAGAAACTATTTAAAACAGATTAATTGTAAAAGTATTCATAAATTGCTTATGAGAATTCTAATATGATATTAATTGCTTTTGTTTATTATTATTATTATTATTAATATACACATTTCAAATGTATTTATTAAAATTATGGGCATTATAGATAAAGGTAAATCTTTCATACAATTTAAATATCTTCATATATCTAAATTACTAATTTGTTTTAAGAACATAAGTCACTAAAAACTTTATTAAACATTGCTAGGTAGGTATATTGAGTTTAGATGGATAATAWGTATTGTGATCGACTTACATACATACAACATGAACATACCAAATTTTAGTTCACCAGTTACAATAGCGTGCTAATAATTTCGAACAGTTTTGAATGTTTTGATATTTGAGTGAAACGACTTATTATAAAATTTAAAGGTAAAATTATTATCTAAAKAGGTTTTTATTTACATTATAATTTTTAAGTTCATGACATTTTATAGATTTTTAAAACTGTACATTTTAAATAATCATAAATAACTTGAATACTAATAAAAGCCTATGTGGGGCCTGAGATAATATCAAAACTAACGGCTGAAAAGCTCAACCAGTAATGAAGATCTGAGAAAATAACTGTAAGCAGACAAATATTGATTTTTTTTTGAGGATTGGTTCATCTAATTGATAGTAGTTATTAGGGACATTGTGATATTACTAATACAAGTTTTATCTATATCAATAAAAAATGACTAGTATCGAATCACTTTTTTACATTTTAAATTACAATTTGTCACACACACACACACACACCTACTGCCTTACTTAACTATACTATATAGTACTATACTAGAAGTCACCATATTTAAACACCATTTTTTATATTTTAAAATAAACGCTTCACCACCTATACTCTGTCAATATAAATAATCTACTGCTGATGTAAACCTAAATTATCATTTTTACTAACTTTATCATAATTTTATCTACGGTTTTCTGCTGCAATTTAATGTATATTATGTAAAAAACTATAAATGTTTAATATTAAGTGAATAGTAACTTGGTAGATTAGTTTAGTATAGTGTATAGTAGATTAGATTATTATTAACTGATAGGTATTATTTTAATATTTTTTAATTGTTGACTGATAAATGACAACAATAATTTATTTATACATTACATTGTTATATCATACATTTTTTTACTCATATTGATACATTTGTTTCGATACTAGACACTAGAACCAAGTAAAAGTATCGATACTTTCTTTCAATACTCTATCTCTAGTACTTTTAATGATAAATATATTAATATATAAATATATTTTCAATGATAAATCAGTGGTATCAMATATCATTAGAGTACCTATAAATTCTATAAAGACTATTTTTATGATGTTTTCATCATCTTGGAGACAAATCAGTATTTTAACAGACCATGGTAATAAGATAAGATATAAGTCATTAATATTCAACCTAAAAAAAATATAATTACCATTAAAATAGTAGGAACCATATTTAAGAAGGTATATAATATATAATCAATAAAAATTTTAAACAGCTTTTGTATTATTGATATTAATTAAAAGTCTAAAGAGCAATGATGTTTGTATTATTAACTACATTTAAGGTTACCCCTAAAGTAATTTTAAGTATACCTACCTAAGTTATTACAAAATTTATCAATTATGGTGTATTATTATTTAATGTTTAAAAGAAAATGAATTTCCTTTTAAAATTATTTTTTCATAAAATTATGGATAACATTAAAATGCTTGTGTTGGTAAAATGAATATGTATAAAAAAAAAGAAACAACAATAGATTGGTGTCATAAATAAATAATAATAATGATGATAAAAAAAATATGCAAGAAGCACTGCAAAAGTATGCATAAGCTAGAAATGTAAAACAAAGATATTTTTTTATAATGTGTTATTGATATTGTTATTGTGTAATGTCACTTTATACGTGAGTATTGGGCAAAAAAAAAAAATACGGAAAAAAAACAAATGCGATTGTGTCGTCGTCGTTGCTACCGTAGGTTTGGTTACATAATTAATTTGTGAAGAAAAAAAAACACTAATAGACTCGATGATTAATTATAAAAAAAAAAACCAATTCAAATAAGAGATAAAAGCTACCGAGTTATCGGGCGGGTAGAGATAACGGACAAAATATGACGTGCCTAAACGCAAAACATCATACCTATTATTATTAGGGCATTACACACGGCGAGAAAAAAAAATGAAAATTTTCGGAATGAGAAGTAGAAATATTTTAACGGCGGAAGTGGYGCGGTCGTCAGATAAAGTGATGCCCACCGTTTAACGAAACACGAAGAAATCTCTGATCGATGACTGTAAAGTGTACCTTATCGTTTTACACTGGACAATGACGTTATATTCATTACACCAATGATTGAACGTTTCGTACGCGACGTCGAGAACAGTACAGACGAAACAAATCCAAAATCCGTCGACGCGAGGCGCGTCACAGCGAAAGAGCGTCCGACGGCGGCGTCGTAAAAATTCTACTCATTCGTCCCGCAGATTTTTCTCGAATTCGTCGATTCCCGCAAAAACGCACACGCGTCGGAATGCGTTTGACAAAAGTAAATAACACGCAGACACAAACAGAGCACGAACGACGCACAATTCTTACAAGCAAGGCAAACAAACATACACTCCACACACTCACACACACTCGCTTGCCAGCAATATATAATAATAAAATATATATTATTATTATAATAGTATAGACGGTCGCACAAACTGTACGTACACGCTTTCACTTTCTACTACTATCCARTCGCGTATATAATGAGCGGAGGAACGGAATGGAAAGAAAAAAAATTGTATTATTCTAAAGAACCAGGATGTGACTGTAATATACCGCCGCAAGACCTACTTATATATCGGAACGGAAATATTTTTATGAAAATCGGCCGCCGGTACTTTCTCGAGACGCGCGCGCCGCAGTCCTCTCGTCGACGTCGTCGTTATATATATTTTAATAACGTGCGGCGATCGCGTAAGGCGCGCGTGTCCTCTGGATCGCGAACGGCCCACACGCCGCGATCGTTTCGCATCCCCCGTTCGGGGTGGAAAAAAAACGATCGAACGATTTCGGCTGTTACCCGAAAACGATAAAAATCGACGACGGCACGAAACCGTCGGCGAGCGTGGTGCGTACCGTTATCTCGCGGGAAA